GCTCTGTCAAGCCCAACATTCCCGTCTCGGAAGGCGTTCGCTGCCTCAAAAAATTTTGATTTTGTACCACACGTCTTTTTTGAGTTCACCCTCATGTGTCCGTCTTGCACGGAAGTGCCATTCTATAGTCATTTATGTTGTTCTTAATTTTTAATTTAATTTATAAATTTATTAATAAATTTATTCATTAATTTATTAATTTATTAATTTATAAATTAATTTATAAATTTGTCAGCATTATTCCAATTATAGATTATTTTGGTCATGTGTTTATCATCTTCTGACCGGAAGTTCAATTTTTGTCAATACTGATCATGTAAGTATTTAATGATTTAGCTTAATTTATATTTTTAATTTTTATTATTAAGTTTTGGTCTTAATTCTGTGAGTTTTTATTTCCCCTTCGCACAAATTAATCAATTAAATATTTCCCTTTATCTACTGCTTCTTTAAATCATCTTATTCTCTTCCATTTTTCTTCTGTTTCCTCTTCTGATTCTCCTATTTCCCACCTGTTTTTTCCATTTGTTTTTTATTCAATTAACTCGATCCATTTACAAACATAATTTTCCCCTCTGATACAAGGGTTCGCCAGGAATGACATTGATATTGAAATTGAAATAAGTTTATTGAGGTAAAATCCACACAAAGGGATGAGGTAGCTCAAGCTATTCTCACCCCGTTCAGTACATCGTGTTAGTACATACATAGACACACATCACAAACAATAAACATATTACCAAACATTCTGAGAGATAAACATCTACATTTCCTCCTTCACAAGTAGTATGGTATCAGACGTACACACAAATACTTTTGATATTGTAAAGTGAAAACTGCGAGCTAAGACCTCTTGCCCCAAATGAGGTCAACAGCATTCTGACCTTAGAGAGCTGTTCTGTAGTCAGGCTTCAGATGTTGGGATGAAGGTTAACAGCTAGTTGAGGTTAACAGCTAGTTGAGGTTAACAGCTAATTGAGGTTAACAACTAGTAGCTTGCAGAGTCGTTGGAGTCGTTAATACGATCGTTAGTGAACCCTAGTCTTAGAGAGAGAGAGAGAGAGAGAGAGAGAGAGAGAGAGAGAGAGAGAGAGAGAGAGAGAGAGAGAGAGAGAGAGAGAGAGAGAGAGAGAGAGAGAGAGAGAGAGAGAGAGAGAGAGACAGAATACAATGAATACAGTACATATATTTATCACAATGTATTCAGTAAAGTACATGTATATTATATATATAAAGCAATTAATGTATATATAAAGTAGTTTGTACAGATAGTCACATCAGTACAACCTATTCAGTAAAGTATATCGAAAAGTTAGTATATACTTAACACATTGTATTATATACAGATAATAACGATAGTTCAGTAATGATAATATAGTTAGCCCAGTTAATTATATTCATAATTACCTTCGCTGATAGCTTTTATCAGTCTGTTAAATTATCATGTTAGTCTATCGCCTGTTGTATTTGACTAGTCGCCTATTTTATTTTATTTTATTCTATTTTATAAATATATTTATATGCGCGCTCCCTCACTGACTGATGGGGGGGGGGGGAGTTCACATAGCATTATGTAAACTTTTCTCATTAAAAAGCAAAGTTAAGTCAGATTGTATTTCTTGTTTGAGAGTTGATTTGTTCGTGTATACGGGTGTTTGAGACGTGATTGAGTTTATACAGGTGTTTGACATATGTTGTCTCCGTGAATATGTGTGTGTTTTTAATGACTGAGTGTTGCCATAATCTATTTGTACGGATTTATTTGTGAATTTATCCTATTGGCGAGATTTCTTGTCAGATGTTTATAGTCGTGTCAGATGTTTAGTGTTGTGTCAGATGTTTAGTGTTGTCCTCATTCTTGCCAACACATTCCTGTTTTCTAACAGGAATAAAACTCTACAGGACCATCCTTGGTCTTTAATTATTTTTAGATCATTGTGCACGCATATATTTTTACAAGCTCTTTTCCTGTGTTGCTTCACATGTTTGAAAAGCTGTTTCTCTACATACACCATTATGTCGTGATTTATGTGTGTGTGTGTGTGTGTGTGTGTGTGTGTGTGTGTGTGTGTGTGTGTGTGTGTGTGTGTGTGTGTGTGTGTGTGTGTGTGTGTGTGTGTGTGTGTGTGTGTGTGTGTGTGTGTGTGTGTGTGTGTGTGTGTGTGTGTGTGTGTGTGTGTGTGTGTGTGTGTGTGTGTGTGTGTGTGTGTGTGTGTGTGTGTGTGTGTGTGTGTGTGTGTTGTGTGTGTGTGTGTGTGTGTGTGTGGGTGTGTGTGTGTGTGTGTGTGTGTGTGTGTGTGTGTGTGTGTGTGTGTGTGTGTGTGTGTGTGTGTGTGTGTGTGTGTGTGTGTGGTGTGTGTGTGTGTGTGTGTGTGTGTGTGTGTGTGTGTGTGTGTGTGTGTGTGTGTGTGTGTGTGTGTGTGTGTGTGTGTGTGTGTGTGTGTGTGTGTGTGTGTGTGTGTGTGTGTGTGTGTGTGTGTGTGTGTGTGTGTGTGTGTGTGTGTGTGTGGGTGTTGTGTGTGTGGGTGTGTGTGCGTGTGTGTGTGTGTGTGTGCGTGTGTGTGTGTGTGTGTGTGTGTGTGTGTGTGTGTGTGTGTGTGTGTGTGTGTGTGGTGAGCATGATTTGTTATTGGGAAGTGACGTCACGCTTGCAACGTCACGAAGCCCCGCCCTCTTATCTCTTACGAGCCAATCAGCGCCTTTTGTCAGCATGTTCTACAGTGTTGCCAACTCTTGCTGCATTTTTGGTTGCTATTTGATAGTTTGTTGAATTAGTAGATAATTGTGCTAGTAGATTGTTGTTAGTAGATACTTAGAAGCCTGTGTTTTTTTATGATTTGAGGGGTGTGGTATATAGTATTTAATACAGGTGTGTGTGTAAAATCATCTTGAGTATAAGTTTGCAACATAGTCAGAATATCAAATTTAATTTATTAAATTTATTATTTATTAATTTATTAATTTATTAAATATCAAATTTAGATCTCAATAACTAATTATCAATGTTTGCAATATCAATCATTCTCAATTGTTTAATTGTTTTCAGCACTTTTTCAAGTTTTAAATAAAATATTAATACTAATTTTAATTTAAAAATGTGCAGAACAGCATGATACAGTGGTCAATTAATTGTTAATAAGGCTGTTTAATTATTAAAAGCACTATTACACAAAGTGTTTTTGTGAGTTTTAACATATATAATGCAAGCTGTTTGCTCTTTGATGCTTTTTTGGGAGAATTTAATATTATGCAGTTTATTCTGAATTTACTTAATTTCGTTCTATCCCCTGACCTGATCTACTAGTCTACTATAGAGATTTGACCTGATCTACTAGTCTAGTACGGAGACTTGACCTGGTCTACTAGTCTAGTAGAGAGACTTGACCTGATCTACTAGTCTACTACAGAGACTTGACCTGATCTACTAGTCTACTCAGAGACCTGACCTGATCTACTGTCTACTACAGAGACTTGACCTGATCTACTAGTCTACTCAGAGACCTGACCTGATCTACTGTCTACTACAGAGACTTGACCTGATCTACTAGTCTACTCAGAGACCTGACCTGATCTACTAGTCTACTCAGAGACCTGACCTGATCTACTAGTCTACTACGGAGACTTGACCTGATCTGCTAGTCTACTACGGAGACTTGACCTGATCTACTAGTCTACTCAGAGACCTGACCTGATCTACAACTCTGACGCGACCTAGCCTGACGTAATGAACAAGACTTTCCTACCTGTTTGATCTATTTAGCAAGTCTACAAAGTGAGGTAATCTACCAACTTCAAACGTGACCTGACTCAACCCATCAGTGTGTGTGGCATGTGATTACATCTGATGCATTAGAGGGAATATATATTAATATAGCATCATACTAGAGTCATTTAAGCCACTTGACTAGTTTGTCCCGGTTAACCTCTTAATCTACTATCAGTCTACGTCAGCAGTCTGACATCTACCACTCTACCTCAGCAGTCTGACATCTACGAATCTACCTCAGCCGTGTGACATCTACCACTCTATCCCTCCTCCTTATTCTGTCTGTGCTATGTAGCTGGCCTCTCGTCTAGGAAATGTCAGCACATATAAGGCCCAATATAACGGACACCGTCTCTAGCGACCAGGGTGAGGTAGCCAGCATTATGCCCGACGGTCGCTACCTGATCCGTTATATCAAGGCTCCGTTATTTGTTCTGGGATTTTAGGGTCTTTACAAACAAACTAACGACTGGTTTATGGCATCTAGTTATTTTATGGCATATGAGTCCATATATATATATATATATATATATATATATATATATATATATATATATATATATATATATATATATCCAAGGTCTCCTCTGAATACTTTTTGATTTTTTCTCTTCTCCGAGGCTATGGAGTCCCCACATACCTAACCTAACACCAGAGGTGGTACCCTCACAAAGGTATATAGGTATATATATATAACTATATATATATATATATATATATATATATATATATATATATATATATATATATATATATATATATATATATATATATTTTTTTTTTTTTTTTTTTTTTTTCTGATGACCTTGGGTGGCCTGTTAGGGCCTTGTGATGACCTCTGTTGACCTGTATTGGTACGTGATGACCTCTTGTTGACCAATCCCCTCACTGTTCCTAATGATCACTGGTGGTATTCGCCAATCTGAATTGACTTTTTTAGTAAACATCAGTTGACCTGTAATGATCGCTGGTGACCTTTTATTAGCTGCTGATTGGTAGTGTTGATTTGTTTTGTGTTTTATATCAGGTGTGTTGACCTCTCGACTCGTTTGACCTTTGGATAGGTGAGATATTGACCGTTACTGACTCCTGTTGACCAGATGGAAAGAATGACCTGTGACGGTGATTGACCTGTTTCGACCCCCCCCCCCCCCCCGTTAAACTTTTATTGAACGTTGATTTGGGTGTGTTGACCTTTGTTGATGGTTGTTGACCTGACCTTTCCTCACTACAGGAGTATAGCGTCCAGTTGACCTTCCGGGAGGAGTGGGTAGATGAACGGCTCATGTTTGACGACCTTGGAGGTAGGACTCACTATCCTCACTATCACCCTCACTATCCTTACCATTACCCTCACTATTCTCACCATCACTCTCACTTCTCACCATCACCATCACTATGTTCATTATCACCCTCTTACTCCTCACCATCATCCCTCACTATACTCACCATCACTCTCACTATCCTTTACCTCCGTCCGTTCCTCACTGTCCACTGTCATGATGGTTTAAATATGCACGTCCATTAATACAAGATCATGAAATAATTATACATAAATACAAGCATATGCATTAATACAAGTATACTTATACATAAATACATGTTTTATTTCATATATAATAATTCCATTTCTCTTATTGAATTACTTTACTGAAGTTTTTAATCAGATAATTGTCTGGAGTCTTGTTGCTAATCACATCATTTTTACAACTATTTTTGTAAAAAAAATGGTTTATTTTTTGTAAACAAAAATCAAACTATTGGTTTTTATGAAGGACATTTTTTCCGAAGCTTCAACATTCATGTTTGCTTTTCTGAACAGTTGTTTATTGTGTCTCTCTAGTGACGTTGGTGTTGTTAGATCTCCTTACCCCAGAGGAGGAGACCAGGAGCTGAAGTACCAATTATGACGCCAACATTTAATATTTCAGATATTACAAACACGCTTGCACAGTCGGCTACGCTGTCGGCTCACAATTTAGAATCCCAGGTTCGATCCGGGGATCTGGGGGTAGAGTTTGATAAGGGGGGGGGGTAGAGCAATGATGCCGGAAGTCATTACATTAGATAATCGGCAGTTTAAAAAAAAGGTTAGGGACCAAGAGCTAAAATCTCACACACCTGCAGTTACGAATAGGTAAATGTACACACACAGGTAACTGGTCTCTCTCTTATATTCCCTGTTTCTTGCAGCCTCTCCGCCAGTTTACCTGTACACCATCTTCGCTACAGCCATCACCATCTTCGCTACTACCATCACCATCTTCGCTACTACCATCACCATCTTCGCTACAGCCATCACCATCTTCGCTACTACCATCACCATCTTCGCTACTACCATCACCATCTTCGCTACTACCATCACCATCTTCGCTACTACCATCACCATCTTCGCTACTACCATCACCATCTTCGCTACTACCATCACCATCTTCGCTACAGCCATCACCATCACCACCATCACTATCACCACCATCACTATCACCATCATTATCAGCTCATCATCACTATAAGTCATCTTCATGGCCACTATTACATCTTGAGGTTATCTTGAGATGATTTCGGGGCTTTTTAGTGTCCCCGCGGCCCGGTCCTCGACCAGGCCTCCACCCCCAGGAAGCAGCCCGTGACAGCTGACTAACACCCAGGTACGTATTTTACTGCTAGGTAACAGGGGCATAGGGTGAAAGAAACTCTGCCCAGTGTTTCTCGCCGGCGCCTGGGATCGAACCCAGGACCACAGGATCACAAGTCCAGCGTGCTGTCCGCTCGGCCGACCGGCTCCCATGATTGAATTACGTAACGATTTTATATATTATATATAATATATTAAATGTAATATCAGCCTTGTTAGGGGGTGACTAAATATGGTGTACAAATCCACAAGGGCCGTGACGAGGATTCGAACCTGCGTTCGAGAGCATCCCAGAAGCTACCTTAATCGACTGAGCTCTTGGAAACTCTTGGGGATTTGTTCATTTGATGCATCACGCTATTGTGACTTATGTGTGTAAATATGGTGTAGTATGAGGTATGAGTTATGAGTTATGAGGTGTTAATGAGTGTTACCGTTCCTCAGGGCGCATCAAGTACCTGACACTCACAGAGACCAACAAGGTGTGGATGCCGGACCTGTTCTTCAAGAATGAGAAGTTGGGTCACTTCCACGACATTATTCTTCCTAATGTTTATCTCCGTATCTTCCCCAACGGCGGCGTCCTCTACAGCATCAGGTATACTCGGGGTATACTTGCTCTACACCTGTGTATAGGTAGTATACACCATGCGCTAGTGATATACTCATTACACATATACACATTCACTTGCAATACGCTCCGATTGACTTGAAAATTACGCTTGTTCACTAGTTATAATCTTTTGTTTACTAGGGGTCAAAGCTGACCTTCCACAGTGCCAGGTACACTAGGGGGTCAAAGCTGACCTTACACAGTGCCAGGTACACTAGGGGGTCAAAGCTGACCTTCCACAGTGCCAGGTACACTAGGGGGTCAAGGTTGACCTTCCTCAGTGCCAGGTACACTAGGAGGTCAAGGCTGACCTTCCACAGTGCCAGGTACACTAGGAGGTCAAGGCTGACCTTCCACAGTGCCAGGTACACTAGGAGGTCAAGGCTGACCTTCCACAGTGCAAGGTACACTAGGGGTCAAGGTTAACCTTCCACAGTGCCAGGTACACTAGGGGGTCAAAGCTGACCTTCCACAGTGCCAGGTACA